TTTAAGACTACCCAATAATTTAGTGTTATTATTTATCCTAATAAAAAATTTAAATAAGGGAACATATACAGTATCTTGACATTTCACAAAAATTAATATGTTCCTAAGGTTGAGAACCAGTAAACTGGAAGGTCAAATGGTCTGAATGCCCCTCATAGCATCTGTATGAGGATAGAGGGAAACCTTGAAGAGGGGACCTGTTTTGCACAAAAGACACTGGAAAGGTTTTTAAAAATACTTCGTCCAGGCCCCATCTGCCAAAGATTGTGATTTGCCTAGGCATCTGTATTTTTATTTTCTATTTCTTAAAGATTTTATTGATTTGAGAGAGAGAGACAGAGCATGGCACGAGGGGGGAGGAGGGGCAGGGGGAGAAGGAGAAGCGGAGAAGGGAGTCTGCCGACGAGGGGCTCGTGCCAGGACCTAGCTGCCCAACCGAGCCACCCAGGCGCCCCAAGGCATCTGTATTTTTAAAAGCTCCACAAGTGATTCTAATGTGCAGCCAAGGCCAAGAACTATGGTCTAGGCAGAAATGTTCCATTTTCCTCTGAATAAAAATAAGTTACTCTTTAATAAAGAAACTAAACAGTTGTAAATAATATCAACAAAGAATTAAAAGATTTTCCCAATGGGAAAATCAAGAAACTTATAAGGAATTCATGTATCTAGAAATCTGAAAGAGCAAAGTATAATAAATTCTTAGATGTATTTTATAAGTTGTATTCCATTTAATAATGTTTGTAAATAATCTAATCAAGGCCAAAGGTAGAGGTGACTGGCATTACGTTGGTCACTGGTTTCCAATCTAAAGGTGGTAAGTTTCCAATGGCTTTTGAAACGGGTGTGAAAATAAAACAACCAAAAAAAGATGGAGAAAGGTGTTTATCATGCTATTTCAGTATTGAAAAGCCTTGAAAAGTTAAGAGGCCCTTGGCTTCTCTGGTGTGTGGTTTATTGTTTATTAACATATTTGACCTATTGTTGTCATGAATACAAATTCTGTAGGGAAAAGACTAACATGTTCGAAGATGAAGTTTATAGGTCCTCTGTGGATTTCATTTTTCTGGTCTATTCATGGCTCCATTAGCATGAATAGTTAAGAAACTCCTATATCAAAATAAAACATTAATTATACTTCACAATATATAAAGCCACTGGCTAAATGGTGCTGTTTCTGTGTAACCTGAATTTTATCATTAAAACTCCTATAACTAAAGTCACATCCTTTACATAATATTTATTCTGTATAGGATTTATCCACATACAATGATGTCAACTTTAAGACAATTGACTATTATTTGTATAAAGGCATCTTATAAAATAGGGTAATAACACAACACACCTCAGTGAATTAAGCTGATATTCTAGGGTTCAGAAAATCTGATCATTCTTTTTTTTTTTTAAAGATTTTATTTATTTGACAGAGAGAGCACAAGCAGAGGGAGAGAGAGGGAGAAGCAGGCTCCCTGCTGAGCAAGGAGCCCGATGTGGGACTCGATCCCAGGACCCTGGGATCATGCCCCGGGCCGAAGGCAGCCGCTTAACCAACTGAGCCACCCAGGCGTCCCAAAATCTGATCATTCTAATTCCTATTTTTGCCATTGTTTCACTGGGTTGCCTTAGGGAGGTTGCTTTACTGTTCTGTGCCTCAATTTCTTTACCTTTCATGTGAGATAACTGTCCTATTTCATAGATATGTAAAGAATAACATAAAAATTATTAAATACTTTGCAAATATAAAATGCTATATAAATGATAAATAGTAATACTGATCCACTCTAATATAAAATAACATTTATAATCTAAAGTTTGGTCCTCCAGTACCTATCATCACCCCTCCCAGTTAAATACATCTTATACTATATTGCTTTTAGTGATTTTCCATAGTATTAAATTTCCATAGTATTAATTTAGGACATATATATATATACACACACATATATATCCAATATGAGTGGAAATTTCAATGTATCTTAACATGACTTTGCAAAATAATGAATTCAGTTCTGAGCTCTTAAGTAACTGACACACCAAACTTTCTTCATCCATTAAGCAGTAACTTCATAGCATAAGAGCAGTTACTATGTTTGTTTTGATTCTATTACTCAAAAATACACTGTTGAAAAGTATGTTTTTCAAAAGTCTTGAGACCTGATAACTATATACGGAACATTCTATAGACTAAGGATGTGATCTGCTGCTCTAGAAGACCCTCTGATTACCAGCTTGTAAGCACAGTGAGTAATAGGGGTAATGAAGTGAGACCCCAATGCTCAAAGGGAATTCAAAAAGCTCCCCTGTTCCAAGGTTTTCAGTGCTGCCCTCCTGAGTTCTGCAGAGGTGTCTGGTGAAAGCTAGTAGGAGGCTATAACAAAAGCAGCTCTGATTTTACAGTTTCTCCCTTAAATGGTGAGGTTCTCTATGAAAGGGTTTGAAGAAAGGGTTTCTTGGGTAAAAAAAAAAATCTCTTAAACCACTGATCTAGTCCATTTTGCTTCCTCCAGCCACTAGGCATGACTGCAATGTTGCTTTATTTTGCAAAACTTCTTCTCATCACCACACACTCTTGAGGACCAGAGTTAGAAGGACGTTCAGAAGCTGATCAACAGCATTACTGTAAGAGCAAATTTTGTTCTAACCAACTCCCACTATTTTGCTAATATTAAAAAAAAAAAATCCTTGGCATAAATAAAGCTTATATTAACAGATTATACCCCTACATAACATTTTCCCACATTTAAAAGCCAAAGAATTTTTTCTCAGAAACCATTAATTTGACAGTCTCACTCTAGGAAAGAATCGGTCTCTAGTCTTAGATACATATGATATGATAACTGGAGTTATTATTTACAACTTACAAATGTCACAAATGTTCTTTCATGATACTAAAATGGTAGAACAGATACACTGTCTAGTTTGATGAACTTGATGGCCGTTTTGTGGGGAGAACTTGATGCTTGTTATAAACAATGAGAAAGCATTATTTCAGATAAGGCTGTCCAGGTGCTGGTGGCAGTGTGTTCCATGGACTTTGCTGACGTTCATGCTGATGTTTGCATGCAGAAGCGTTAAGAGAACAGTTAGATCACAGACGAAAGTGTGTTATAGCATACACATGCACTACTTCATTCTCATGAGTAAAGCTCCAATCATTCATTTTTCCTATTGGCTCCAAGGACTAAAAATCAGATAATAATTTTAAAAGATGTTACCATCTGGTGAGACTAAAGAATGACAAGTGTTCCCTCCCTCATTTGGATACAACTTAATTGTTAAGACTCCTGATTCAGGAACAGTCATGCTGGGAGAATAGTGAACTCAGTGCATGCCATCCAGTCTTGAATCAACTGGAAATTTACCATCAGGGGAATCTTGGAAAGGTCTCAGCATTAAGTACCATAAAACAAAAACAAATGGTTATTCATTCTATTTGTAAAAAATGTTTTAGAAATGAACCATTTTAGCCCTCCAATCGGTATCAAGGACAATCAGTAATTAAAGAATAAGAGAAAAAATAAAATGAAAAGTATCATCTTGAGGGATGTAATGACATTTAGAAATACAGTATAATACATGGAGCCCTATCAAAATTAAATTATATCAAGCTCAACGGTAATAATTTGAAGCAACCTTCAGTAAGGTCGGTTCTTCTGGGATTCAGATTTTATCTTCAGAACTAAAATAATGCTTCTCTGATTGAACTTTACTTTTAGAATGTTTCATAATTCATATAGGGGAGGAGTTTATTTTATTTAAAAAAAAATTTTTTTTAAGTAATCTCTACAACCAACTTGGGCTCAAACTTACAACCCCCAAGATCAAGAGTCGCAGCCAGGCACCCCTTACAGGGGAGGAGTTTAAACACATCTTTATATCCTAGGAGAAAAGTTTGTTTTGAAAAATGATATAAACAAGGTAAGAAAAATGCTTAAAGCATGTAAGAGATAACGTCTTCAAAGAGTGTTATACATAACATTTACATATAAATAACCTGACATTAAAAACAGTCAGTAGACACTGGAGGGACATCTCTGAGCACTCTTGGGTAACTCTAGTCCAAGTTATTATGTGTTGTTGAAGCTTATTAATTTCTTCTTTTATACTTTCTAATTCGAATAGGCTTTTTTTTCTAATTACTGCAGATTGGTGAGGTTTGACTTCAATTCTTTGCCATTTCAGGAGACAATACAGGGACAATTGAAAGAGGGCTGTTTAAAATCAAGACCTGTCCATCACCGGTCCAGCCACTTAAGCTTTCTGATTAATTTCCTCACTTGTAAATTAGAGACAATAATATCTACCTTGCTGATTGAGAAAATGCGTGAGAGAGCACTTTAGAAATAATATAGCAGAATAATAAATGTTAGAAATTACTCTTAAAAACTGGTAACCTCCAATTTTCTTGTTCATCATTTTTTGGTTTTTTGTTTGTTTTCCTTTAGAGAGGAAGAGAATTGTATTGACAGATCTTCACAAACTACCTTGACTTTTAGGCAGTATTTGTTTCCTGCTTTAGAAGATGATGTCTGTATGTAATCTCTGGTCTGCCTCTATTTTAGGTTTTGTTTTGTTTTAAACAATACTGACTACATAAGAGTCATCTTTACCGTAATGACAAAAAATTCAAATATGAACAGTTTCACACATTTTAGATTTGTCTGCCATAATCCTAAAACAATATCTACGATATTGGGATACTGAAAGGTTGTTTTAGATCTGAAATTAAATTAGATCTGAAATTAATAGAAAGACTTATAATTCAGTCAGGTCAGGGTGCCAGACCCTTAAATGTGCTCTTACCTGGTTCCTTGTGAAAATTCAATATTGGTAGTTTGTGTTTTTGAAACACCTTGAAATTATCTTACTATAAAGTCTGATTGTGGTAAATTTATTTAAAATATTTTCTTTGAGAAAAGTTTGCTAAGTAGATCTTTCAATATTAAAAGAAAAAAGGTATCTCTGTAATAAAAGGAAGAGCATTAATTGTTCATCCATCATGCCAACTCAAGCTAGGTCTTTCTTTCCAGTGCAGCAACGTATTTTAGGGCAACAAAGTTCAGAATGGATACCATGACCTGTTCGGAAAGCATGCAAGTTATATTAGGTCATCACTTTTAAGTCAGTCTGATAGATACCTTTGTGAGCCAGACTCTGACCATGGAAAGAGAGAGATACAGGAAGTCAGCGTAAGTTGCAGACATGCCAGCTCTGTTGGTTCCCACGTTAGCTACCTAATGTTGGGCTTTATCTCCTTCTCTTCTTCCTCTTCACTATCATCGACCTGTTGTATGACCAGATCAGCAGATCCATCCTCTACAATCTCCACGTATGACCTATTCTCATCTTCACTCAAGTGCCATCTGGAATCCTTATCTCCATCTGATGGGGACATAAGATGCTGTTCAGCTTCCAAATCAATGGGGAGGCTGTCTATGCCCACTTCAGCGAGGCACTCATTACAGAGTCTGTAGCGCCTGGTTCCTTCCTGGACCACTTGCCCTGTTAGATCAGTCACGTGGCGTTTGCATTTTCTGCAGATTAGTTTGCATGCCTGGTGAATCTGTATAGAGATTGAAATAGTGATAAAAAAAGATTTTTCAAAAGCAGCACAGTTGGATATCTAGGTACCAGTTCATAAACTTAAGATGTCCAAAGCCAAGCGCTAATATTAAATAAACATCTAATTATTAGAAAAAGATCACAGGTTTTGGTGATAAATTGACATCACAAATAAACACCACCTTTCTCTAAATGATGGCTATACCGTTTTTATGATTAATAAAACATGCTTAATAATTTCACACATCCCTTAATCCAACAGTATTTTGATATCTGAGGTAACAAGGGACACCTTCCCAGAATAATAATCATTGCAAACACTAAATATATCACTATTCTAAGGACTTTTTATACCTTAATTCTGGCAAGGGAGAAACCTCGTTTCATGTGTCAATTTACTGTTATCAGCTAGAGAAAAATATATTGTCTCAAATTTAAATTTATCAAAACATACTTTTGGATAGAAGGATTATTTGCCACTTCTATTAATGAAAGATCCTGTAGAAAGAGGACTAGATTAGGAACAGGAAGGCCTGGGTTCTAGCCCTGTTTTGTCATTTACTAGCCATGTACCTTGAAACAAGTAATTGAAAACAATATAAACCTGCTTCCAGGGTGACAGGCAAAGTATTTAACAACTTGTAAGGTATGGGCACCACCCAAACAGAATGGAAGCCTGACAGTCAAAATGAACATTGGTCCTGACAACGACCCTGCTGGTTCTGCTACGTATCAGCCTATAATTATCTCTGCCTGCTTCCATCTTACTAATGAGAATACAATTCAGGTTGTGAGGACTAAATGAGTTAGTATGTGTGAAGTACTTTAGGAAAAAATTGTAACTGATAAATAATTACATAATTATAGTTACTAATAAACAACTTTAACAGCTGTCAGAGCAGATTATGGGTTCTACTCTAAAAACCATTACAATTTTATAATGTCGAATTAATATTTATGGCATATTCATTTAGATAAAATCAGAACAATATGGAAGTAGGCCACCAAACACAAATAGCAAAAAAATTAAAAAAAAAAATCAAGGAAACTAATGCGGTCTGGTAAAATATCTAAGAAAATGTATGGGACTACAACTTAGTATAGTTATTATTTTCTGCTGAACGGTTGACATATTAATCAGTAAATATTGAAAGTACACAATTTTAGTGTACCCGTATTGCTGCCGAGATAGTAATGTTATGGGTATCATATGTGGTATTGTTTTTGTTAGAAAGTTCTGGCACAGATTTGTGTTTATCCTCCAGCCCCTCGATTCCAATCAGTTACTAAGTCAAAGAAATTAAGTGAAACACTATAATGTTAAAATTGAAAATATCATCACAAACTCATTATTCAAAAAACACATATCTTCTAGCTCTGTCCGCCAAAATAATGGAAGAGGAATGACCCCCTAGTAAAAGGGAGCACCCCAGGTATCCAAAGTTTGGTTTCTAATTTTACTCCCCATTAAAAGGAACCAAATGTCCTTTAAGAAATGGCTGATTCCAGGTTTGTGACAGGAAAATACAACGTGAGTCTAGGGAAATCTGAGGGCCAGAGAATGAAGCCACCTTGAATATGTAATGGAGTTATGACAAAGGGACACAAGAACCAGCTTCAAGCTGTCCTCACTGGACAAAACGGATAATTTGAGTATCAAAAAGAATAATAATTGTTGTAGATCCAAACACAATGAACCAATGAAAATTTATGAGACTATATGCTATTTAAAAAAAAAACAAAGCCAGAAAAAATTCATATTGCCATTTGAAACTGCTATTAAATCAACTCTTTACTTTGAAAATTGATAATTAAAGGGAAAGAATTAAATATTTATCCTGTTTCTCCTGTAGTAACTGTATTTCAAAGTAACTGAATAGTCCCAGGTGATGGAGGAAAGTTTTACTTTATAGAATTCTAGCTAATAATGTAAAAGAAATGATAAAATTAGTAAATCATTCTACAACCCAAGTAAAATTAGTCATCTGGACAGAGTTTATCAACTGATATTAATACCATTAAATGCATGGTTGATGGGGAAATGGATAGTAGCATAATGCCAACATAGCTCCACACAGATTCCTTTCTAAACACAAGGTGGCACCTTTAACTGAACAATGGCGGGATCACAGTATCATTACTCTTAGTGACCAATCTTAACAATATGAATGATGGGTCCAACAGATATTATGTGTCTCCTAATGTGAAACATTATGAGATAAATAATTTCATCCTTGATGTGTTCTAGCTGAAAGTATTTACCTTGAATCCATTAAGCCTTTATTTATTTATTTTTAAGATTTTATTTATTTATTTGAGAGAGAGAACGGTAGAGAGAGAGCATGAGAGGGAAGAGGGTCAGAGGGAGCAGACTCCCTGCCGAGCAGGAAGCCCGATGCGGGACTCGATCCCGGGACTCCAGGATCATGACCTGAGCCGAAGGCAGTCGCTTAACCAACTGAGCCACCCAGGCGCCCTTCCATTAACCCTTTAGATAAAACATCTAGTTTATAGAAAATGCAGGGGGACAGAGGAACAAGCTAAATGACACCAGTGAAAGCAAGCAGAGAAATCGAGAGGTAGGTTATTTTGTAAAATAATTATCTTGATATCTTCAGTAAATCAGTGTTATGGAAATGAAAAGGGGGGCAGGGAGGACTATGCTCTCTTAAAAACATATTTAAGGGACTTGAGGAGATGTCATACAGGATCCTGCATTGGATACTGGTTTGGACAAACAAGCTATAAAAGGTATTGGGGGATTACAGGGAAATTTGAAATTGAACTGGATGTTATATAAAATTTTATTGAGATGGAAAGGTAGAGATTGTTCACTAATGATAGCAGGCACAAACAGTATGATCTAATTTGGTTAAAAAAAAAAAACCCAAGGGGCACCTGGGTGGCTCAGTTGGTTAAGCGACTGCCTTCGGCTCAGGTCATGATCCTGGAGTCCCTGGATCGAGTCCCGCATCGGGCTCCCTGCTCGGCAGGGAGTCTGCTTCTCCCTCTGACCCTCCCTCCATCTCATGTGCTTTCTCTCTCATTCTCTCTCTCTCTCTTAAATAAATAAATAAAATCTTTAAAAAAAAAAAAACCCACACATATGCATGTGATAAAGTCTTAAGAATGGTAGTATCTGAGAACGCCTGGGTGGCTCAGTTGGTTAAGTGTCTGCCTTCACTCGGGTCATGATCCCAGGGTCCTGGGATTGAGCCCCACATCAGGCTCCTTGCTCAGCAGGGAGCCTTTCTCCCTCTGCCTGCTGCTCCCCCTGCTTGTGCTCTTTCTGACAAATAAATAAATAAAATCTTTAAAAAAAAAAAAAGAATGGTAGTATCTGGGTGGTGAAAATAAAGTATTTTTATTTTCTTACTTTTACCTTTTATAATGCATAGTCATTGCTTTTGTAATAATAAAAGGTTCTTTTTAATTAAAAAAATACAAAAACCTAGCTTCATAAGGTTAATGAAGGCAGAGATTCCTGGCACTGAGAACACCTGCAGGATACCTAGCACTGAGAAAAGGGGCGGGCACATAGGTGCTCAGTATGTATTTGCTAACTAACTATAGAGCAATGCATGAAGAAATCACCTTCAGTGAGCCACTGCCCTTTAAACTTAAGAGGGGCTGATATAAATGGAAAAGAAGTATAAGCAATAGAACACAGATTTTGTAAAACATTCTTGCCTCAAGACGAACAGCAGAGTAATCCGAACGTCCCTACCTCAGCTGCCCGCCAGAGCACTGAATAGCAAATTCCCTGAGATCTTCCTGACTGCTGACGGTCCCGTCCCTGATGGAAGTGGCTCTACTGCCCACCTTGCTCCCTTCCTTGAGACTAGAAAGGGGGTACAGTGGCCAGAGGACGGACAGCAGAAACCAGACCGAGATCCTACCAGAGAAGCATTCAAGAACCACTAGTAGATGTGGAGCATCTGCAGTGGTGATTCTGACCTGGAGATTCAGATATCTTTAGTTTACCTTGTCTTTGGCTCTTGAAAAGACCAGTATATAAAAACGTATTCGATTTTAAATGAACTAAAATGCATATTCCAAAAATAAAAAAATAATTTAAAAAATAAAATGGATATTCAAAAGAGTATCTCTTACTTAAAGGTCTCAAGGGTGAATAAAAATATATCTATATTAAATTATGCATTATGTGCAAAGTAAAAGCATGTCGGAAAAATTTCTAATATAGCAGAGTTGTATGAAAAGATTTCCCTCGGTAAAGTAGATTATCTGACAGCAGATAAACCCAACATTTCCTAAGAAGGAAAATGATGAAAAATCATGTACGTACTGTTCGGAAGTGGCTACTGAGGTGGTCCAGCCTGCTAAATCTCTTCCCACAGGCTTGACAGGGATAGGGTCTTTCTCCTGTGTGGCAGCGAAGGTGACGCTTCAGGTCCGCCTTCCGCTTCACCACGTGTGTGCAGTATGGGCACTTGAACCGCATCCGGGGCAGATCATCTGTCAGGAGACAGTTTGATTAAATCACTGGAAAGTTCATCACAACAATTCTAATAACATGAAGAATCCCAAAGGAGTTGGTGAGTCCAATCTTAGAAAGGCAGGAGAAAAGGAGAAGGAAGAAATATTAAGACTCAATTGTCCATGTAATCCTGTGTCCAGAACTGTAACGGTGGCACTTGGGAGATTTATAAAGTTGGGGTAAATTTACACTCTCGCACTTATCTTCTCATTCAGTGTTGTAGAGTCACTGGATTTGAAATGTAAAAAGGTAGTGCTGGATTTTTAAAACTGGAGATACAAAAAAAAAAGACAAAAACAAAAGAATTGGAGGTACAACCCAAAAGTATTTCATATTACAGCTTTTAGTAATGTGTTTTATTCACATATTTTTTTAAAGATTTTATTTATTTATTTGACAGAGAGAGAGACAGCCAGAGAGGGAACACAAGCAGGGGGAGTGGGAGAGGGAGAAGCAGGCTTCCTGCCGAGCAGGGAGCCCTATGCGGGGCTCGATCCCAGGACGCTGGGATCATGACCTGAGCCGAAGGCAGCCGCTTAACGACTGAGCCACCCAGGTGCCCCTTATTTACATATTTTTATCCCCTTCCCTCTACTTTTTGTACACTCATAATACTTTTAAAGGTAAAAAAATGTCAAGGACATTTAATTTTTTATTTTAAAACTCATGTATTCAAGGGGAGCCTGGCTGGCTCAGTCATTAGAGCACGTGACTCTTGATCCCTGGGTTGTAGATTTGAGCCATACATTGGGTGTAGAGATTAGTAAAAAAATATATAAACTTTAAAAAATAAAATACGGGGCGCCTGGGTGGCTCAATCGGTTAGGCGTCTGCCTTCTCCTCAGGTCCTGATCCCAGGGTCCTGGGATCGAGTCCCGCATCGGGCTCCCTGCTCAGCGGGGAGCCTGCTTCTCCCTCTGCCTGCCTCTCTGCCTACTAGTGCTTCTATCTCTCTGTCCAAATAAATAAACAAAAAATCTTTTAAAAAAATAAAATAAAAAATAAATAAAATAAAACTCATGTACTCAAGATGTTATGACTGGAGGCAAACGTCATCAATTAAATAGCCATTAAACTCAGCTGTTCATTATTGAAGTTAGATTTGCATAACCTAGATTATCAAAGTACAGAGCCCAAAGAGAGAAAAGATCACTCTTTTCCAGTTTTAAAATGCAACAAAGATTTCTCATTTTTGCTCTGTTGTTTCTGTATGTCTTGGTCAGTGGTCAGAGCTCAGCAGGACTTTCAGTAAGCTCTGTAATAGGATACAATTTCATGTATTTTCAGGTTAGTATTACAGGAAAATGCAATTAGTAAAGATCCAGCTGGTTGCTTATTTTATTTTTTATTTTTTTAAGATTTTATTTATTTATACATGAGAGACAGAGGGAGAGAGAGAGAGAGAAGCAGAGGGAGAAGCAGGCTCCCAAGGAGCAGGGAGCCCGATGCGGGACTTGATCCCAGGACCCTGGGATCATGACCTGAGCCGAAGGCAGACGCCTAACCATCTGAGGCACCCAGGCACCCTGGTTGCTTCTTATTTTAAAGTATGTTATCTACAACCAAATTATTTTTAAAAATTTATGTGACGGGGTGCCTGGCTGGCTCAGTCATTAAGCGTCTGCCTTCGGCTCAGGTCATGATCCCAGGATCCTGGGATCAAGCCCCACATTGGGCTCCCTGCTCAGTGGGAAGCCTGCTTCTCCCTCTACCACTCCCCCTGCCTGCGTTCCCTCTCTTCGCTGTCTCTCTCTGTCAAATAAATAAGTAAATAAAATCTTTAAAAAACAAACAAACAAAAGGAACTGTTAATTTTGTTTAGGTACAATTATGGTATTGTAGTGGTTTCGTTTTTTTTTTAAGACAACTTTATTTTTATTTTTTTAAGTAGGCTACATGCCCAACATTGGGCTTGAACTCACAACCCTGAGATCAAGAGTCGCATGTCCTGGTTTTGTTTTGGTATTTTCTTAGGGGAATGGAGGGGCAGAGGGAGACAGAGGGAGAGAATCTTAAGCAGGCTCCATGCCTAGCATGGAGTCGGAGGTGGGGTTTGATCTCACAACCCTGAGATCATGACCTGGGCTGAAATCAAGAGTCGGATGCTTAACTGGCTGAGCCTCCCCTCCTTTTTAAGACTACATTTTAGGGACACATTCTGAAATATTTACAGATGAAAAATTATGATGTCTGCTATTTGCTTAAAAATAATAAAGGGAGGGGTGAGGAGTTAACGATACAGATGAAACAATATTGGAAGTGAGTAGGAAGTTGTCCAAACTGGGTAAGGGGTACAGGGAGGTGAATTATACTATTCTCTTTCCTTTTGTGTATGTTTGAAATTTTCCTAAGATAAAAACAATTTTAAATATATAATCTGAATCTTATAATCTGTAAGAGTTTCATCTTATAATTTTCCTTTAAATTCACATGTAAACTATTAAGCAAGTTTGCTACCTGATTAATTGGGGCAGAACTATATGACATGCATTTCTTTTTTTTTTTTAAGATTTTTAAAAATTTATTTACTTTGAGAGAGAGAGCGTGAGCAGGGGGAGGGGCAGAGGGAGAGAGAATCTCAAGCAGACTCCATACAGAGCTCGGAGTCTGACGTAGGGCTCGATCCCACAACTGTGGATCACTACCTGAGCCAAAACTTGAGTTGGCTGCTTAACGGACTGAGCCACCCAGGCACTCCTGTATGACATGCAATTCTAATTCCTGTTCTCTACTACAGTCTTATGGCGGTGAGGGGTGGATTACTGAAACCAACAATCTACATAATCTTTCTGCATTTTACTACTATCATAAAAATGAGATGTCTCCAGCTGTTGTTGCACACACAGGATTACAGTGTCAATGTTATGGGTTGTGTGTGGTTTTTAAATTATGTCTTTATATCTCAATAAAATCAGATGTAGTCCAATTTCTTTAAGTCTTGGGTCTGTGAACTTTTGTAAATATGCATCGTTGTTCTGTTTAACTTTTCTGTGTAAAAATACTCCTCCTAAAAAAAAAAAATACTCCTCCTGAGTGAATACTCAGAAAAAAATATACAATTTAAAGTAAAAATATGCATCTTAGGGATTGAACCATTTAGAAAAGAGCTATAAAGGCTTAACAGTAATCTAATCATCTGCTGACACAGGCTGGGAAAATCTTGGGCTTTGAAACTCAGAACTCTATTGTTTTTTTTGTTTTGTTTTTTAAGATTTTATTTCTTTATCAGAGAGAGAGAGAGAGAGAGAGGCAGGCAGAGGGAGAAGCAGGCACCTTGCTGAGCAAGGAGCCTGATGTGGGACTTGATCCCAGGACCCTGGGATCATGACCTGAGCCGAAGGCAGATGCTTAACCGACTGAGCCACCCAGGCGTCCCAGAACTCTATTGTTTTGACGTTATTCAGTTTCCCTTTTTTTTTTTAAGTAGGCTCCATGCCCAATGTGGAGCTTGAACTCATGACCCTATATTCAAGAGTTGCGTGCTCTACCAACTGAGCCAGCCAGGTGCCCCTATCCAATATTATTTTTAATTAGAAATTTAAATTTATGTTTTATGAAATAAATTTCATTAGAGGGGTATGACTTAAAAAAAAATCACTTGGTTCAACTGCCCATAACACTTCAAAGTAAGGGCATGTTGAAATAGGACTGATTTGTATAGGAGCCTTAGAACCTCAATAAGGGGACTGATTTTTTTTTTTTTTTTTTATTGGTTACATTGAATTCTTATGGATATAAAATAAGATCACGGACCATACGGATAGCTAACAGGAGTAGAGTCCATGTCAGCATCAATTTGTGCTTGTTCTTCAGATTGGGAAATGTGGCTGGAAGAATCTGATGTTCGTGCTTCTCGTTTGCTTGACTTATAAGGAGCAACTTCAGAAGGCTGTGACAACCTCAAATGTTTGGACTTTTTAATGGAATCTTTCCTTTGTTCATGCTTGGTCAAAGGCTGTTGAGTATTCCTTTGGGAGGCTGGATGGTAATTATACTTACTCCAAGATTTTCCACTTATTACACCTGTTCCTTGATCTGAGCTTAGGTGAGAATGAGGAGAACTGCTTTCTTCTTGCCAGCCACTGCTATAAAAGGAGGAACGTTCTATACCGTTAGAATTGGCGTCTTTATCAGAGAGACTGAAATAGCGATCTTTTTCTTTCTCACTAATGTCTAGCGAAGATTTAATAAAGGTCTTACATACACTAATGACATCAGTCATCTGAAGGAAGCTAGCGGCTGACATCACTTCTATGACGTTCTGACCAGTGAGAGAGAGTTTGCCGGAATAGACGAAGTCCAGGATAACCGTAAAAGTGTCAGGGGAGAAGGCCTGAAATGTAGCTGTGGTTGGCTGACTTGTCTCCTTTGAATTCTGAGAAAGGAGCATTTTGAAGTAGCCGCTGCTAGCAAATAATACATTTCGATGTGCTTTGAAGACCTTCCCTTCAACCAGAATGCTGCAATCACAAAAGACATCTTGCCTGCGCTGCTCATTCAGTTGCTGCAGGAGGTGGGACTGATGAGTGGAGATCTCCATTCTGGAGAGGAAAAGACACGTGGTTACCAAACCCAAGTGACACGCCTTTTCCAAGCAGAGTCAACCGAAATAACCATCAGAAACCGCCCTTATTTCCACTGACACCACTTTCTTCCTAGAGAATATAAGACTCCAAGACACAGAGAATCACTTAGTACTGTACTATTAGTTATGTGATTTTTGGACAATTATTTGTTCAGTCACCAACCTTTACTGAGGATCTTCTATGAATCAGGTCTTCTGCTGCGTGCCCTCCTTGATACCCATCACCCATCTAGACATCCCCCACCCACCTCCCTCTGGCAACCCTCAGTTTGTTCTCTATCGTTAAGAGTCTCTTATGGCTTGTCTCCCTCTCTCCTTTTTCTCTTTTCCCCCTTAAAATATAACCAAACGTTTTAAATGTATGGCTGGGCTTGCAAGAAAATGAGAAATCCCTAGATGCCGGCAGTGGAGAAGGAGCAGAGGCGGAGAGGTAATATGGCTTCAGGTTTTTATCTGTAACAAGCTGGAAGCCTTTAAGGACCACGACCTTAATGAAGAAAGACTAGTAAACTTTGCCCATAAATCCCGGGAAAAAACAAAGTTTGTCTTTGCGGGGCTTTCGTTGGGGAAAGAAAAAAAAGTACCCAGGTGAGATATCAAACCCAAGGTTGTGATTTTTGAGGTTCTGGAATCCAAATTTATTTTACCTGTTTGGTGTGAGAAACCTCAAGGTGAAAATTTAACAAAGAAATTAGTCCTGGGCTGGTGGGGCCCATGGGGCACGCGCAGAAACAAATGCGAAACTGCTTAGGACGGGTGTTCTCCGGACTCAAGCCAGGTGGGAAATAATCTCACGCTGAACTCAAAATCATTTATAAAAAGTGCATCATTTCTTTTTTTTTTTTAAAGATTTTATTTATTTATTTGACAGAGAGATAGAGTACAGGTAGGCAGAGAGGCAGGCAGAGGGAGAGGGAGAAGCAGGCTCTCCGCTGAGCAGGGAGCCCGGTGTGGGGCTCGATCCCAGGACTCTGGGATCATGACCTGAGCCGAAGGCAGACGCTTAACCGACTGAGCCACCCAGGCGCCCCAAAGTGCATCATTTCTAATATTGTACCATCATGATGTCTATTATCTCCTATCTTACAAACAAGCAAACAAAACTTCCTTGCTTTCACATCCACCTCTGGCTACAACTCATTTCTATATATTATTTTATTCTAAGTAAACTCTACACCACATGTGGGGCTCGAACTCAAAGACCCTGTGATCAAAAGTCACATGCTCCACCGACTGAGCCAGCAGGTGCCCCAGGTTACTACTCATTTCTCTGCTTCCTTCACACAAAATTCATTGAAAGAGGGTTTTTTTTTAATATTTTATTGATTTCTTTATTTGAGGAGGGAGGGGCAGGGGGAGAGGGAGAGAGAGAACCTCAAGCCTACACCATGCTGAGCGTGGAGCCTGACGTAGGGCTTGATCCCACGACCCTGAGCCAAAATCAAGAGTTGGACGCTAAACCAACTGGTGCCCAGAAATAGTCTTTTGGTTTGCTCTTTTCATTTGCTGTCTTCACTTCTCCCGTTCTCTTTTGACCAGGTTTCATCCCCATCCATTATAATCATTTTTTTAAAAGATTTTATTTACTTATTTGACAGAGACATAGGGAGAGAGGGAACACAAGCAGGGGGAGTGGGAGAGGGAGAAGCAGGCTTCCCGCCGAGCAAGGAGCCTGATGCAGGGCTCGATCCCAGGACCCTGGGATCATAACCTGGGCTGAAGGCAGACGCTTAACGACTGAGCCACCCAGGTGCCCCCAATCATTTTTTAAAAACATCATTAGTAACTTGCATGTCAAATCCAATGGTCATTTCTTTGTCCTCATTTTACTGAGGCAGGAGGTGATTCTCTTCATCCTAAAACACTTTCTTTACTTGATGCCAGGACACCACTGCTCCGTGTTCTTCTCCCATAGGCTGGCCACTCCTTCTCAGTCTCCTTTGCTGGTTCTTCATTTTCCTAGCCTCCAAGTGCTAGGGGATTCAGGACATGCTACCCCAAAATATGGCACCTTGGCGTACTGAATATTTTGAAGGAGTTTGAGAAAACAGCAGAAGCAGAAAGAGCACTCTGATCCCTCCTCCCTTCTCCCCTGCAACTAAAATAACCCTCAGATGAGAGGTGCCCTCCTTATACCCAGAGGAGAGAGCATCCTTATCTCAGAAGACAAAGGGACGCTAAAAAGAATCTGCACAAACAGGCTTTGCCGGGCTTCTCCAGTTACTAAATTCATCTCATACTCCTTAACCTACCATATTCCTCCACGACTGTCCACTCTTCATGGAACCTAGCATAAAAATATGCTCAGGTCTAACGATTCTCCGGGTCTTCATTTCCTTATAAAGGGGTCCATGTCATGTAAAACTATTGGGTAAATTGGTATGCATTTCTCATGTTAATTTGTCTTTGTCAGTTTAATTTCCAGACCCAGCCAGGAAGAAGGTCAAGGAAAAATTTTCCTCCCCTACCGCTGGAATGCCCCAAGCCTCAGGGCTCAGACCTCTTCTCTACTTACACCATTCCCTAGGTGAGCCCATCTAGTCTCATAGTTTTAAATACCATCTTTGAATTTATGACCCATAAAAAAGCCTCCAGAGGCTGCCCATCCAACCTCAAAGTTCTCACGCCCTCAAAGGCCCTACCTGATGTGCATCCGCCCTGTCCAGGTATCTCTCTGCTCTCATCTCCTCTGCTCCACCCTCCTACACTGCATTCCAGCTACAAAGACCTCTGCTCATTCCTGAACATTCAAGGCCTATTCCTGCCATGCAGCCTTTGTCCTTGCTCTTCCTTCTACTTGGGAATTCTCCCAGATATACACATAGTTCACATTCTCATATTTTCAGGTCTCTGTTGGAATGTCACCTTATCAGACAGCTTTCCTTTGCCATCCCATATAATCACCCCTTCCCATTCTCTATCCCCTTATTTGTTTGCTGTGTGTTTTCTCCTATTAGAATTTAAGGTAAGAGAGCGGAGACTTTGCCTGCTTTACTTATGTATCCCCAGCTCCTTGAACACACGATACATGCTCAATCAGTGTTGCTGAATGTGCATCAAACACGTTAAAACATACAAGGAAATCGTTCTTTATAAAGAAGAATCAGCAGGAGAACAAACAGGAGAATCAGAACACCAACAATTTTAGAAAATAGAATAAAAATCTAACAGACTCTAAAATAAGTATGTTTAAGGGACGCCTGGGTGGCTCAGTCAGTTAAGCGTCTGCCTTTGGCTCAGGTCATGATCCCAGGGTCCTGGGATCGAGCCCCGCATTGGGCTCCTTGCTCAGGGAGCCTGCTTCTCCCTCTGCCTGCCACTCCCTCTGCTTGTGCGTGCGCTCTCTCTCTCTGACAAATAAATAAATAAAATCTTAAAAAAAAATAAGTATGCTTAAGATGGGCAAAGAGATAAAATATATAAAGAGTAGCATATAGTTTTTTTTAATATTTTACTTTTATTTATTTGAGAGAGAGAGTGAGCACAAGTGGTGGGGAGGAGCAGAGGGAGAGGGAGAAGCAGGTTCCCTCCTGAGCAGGGAGCCCGATGCGGGGCTCGATCCCAGGAGCGTGAGATCATGACCTGAGCCGAAGGTAGACGCTTAACGACTGAGCCACCCAGGTGCCCCAAGGGTAGCATATAGTTTTGAGCATAGACGCTAGAGCCAGGTAGCTGGATTTGGAATTCTGGCTCTACCACTTAATAGCTGCGTGACCCTGGGCAATTTATTTAACCTCTGTATCCATTTCCTTATCTGTAAAATGCAACAAAAAATAGCTCATATTTCAAAGGATTATTGTGAGGATTGAATGAGCTGATGTACACATAGCACTCAAACCTACATGTAATAAGGACTTCATAAATGTTAGCCATTCTCCTTTTGCTTTATTAGTATCCACAAGAAAAGAAACCGGGGTGGGGGCGGGTGGAAGAGGAGGTAGGTTTGAGGAGGAGCCAAATGGATTTAATATATGAAAAATATAATTAATGAAATTAAAACACCTCATGTTGCAAGATGGTTGCCCCATCTCCAGCCTGATGTCCACATTCCTGGCAGGAAGAAGAGGAAAAGACAAAAGACAATTACCAACCCAGCCTGTCTTCTTTTTTTTTTTTAAAGATTTTATTTATTTATTTGAGAGAGAGAATGAGATAGAGAGAGAGCATGAGAGGGGAGAGGGGAGAGGGTCAGAGGGAGAAGCAGACTCCCTGCCGAGCAGGGAACCCGATGCGGGACTCGATCCTGGGACTCCAGGATCATGACCTGAGCCGAAGGCAGTCGCTTAACCAACTGAGCCACCCAGGCGCCCTGTCTTCTTTTTTTTATCAGAGGGAAAAAAAGCTTTCCTGGATGCCTCACCCAGGGAACTTACACTTGCAACTCAATAGCCAGACATGTCACCTGGTATTTAAGTGTAACTCCCATTAACAGTATATATCAATTACTACTTCTCATTTTTGTCAGTACTTAATATTATCAGACTTTTTAATTTTGCCAATCTTACAAAAATGCAATGGTATGTCATTGCTTTTATTTGTGTGGATTGAACAATTAATGTTTATTGACTATGATTCAGTGAATTACTTGCTCATTACAATGTTGTTAACTAACACTGTATAACAATTAACTACAAAAAATAATGTTATACAATAAGTATTTATTTAGCTCACAAGCCCGTGCGTTGGCTGATTTAGGCAGGGCTTGTTAGGACAGCTCTGCTGATCTTGCCTGGGCCCACTCACATACCTAGGAGTCAGTTGATTCTGGGGTGGTTGTGTTATTACATGGTCTCATATCTTCCTCCTGGGACCAGTTGGCTGGCCTGGCCAATTTCTTCTCATGACAATGCCAAAAGTACAAAAGACCAAGTGGAAATATATGAAACCTCTTAAGGCTTAGGTTTGCAACTGGCACACTGTCACATCAACCCTACTGTAATAGTCTCAAGCAAATC